CCCGCAGGCAGCCAGAGCTGGAGTCGAAGTTTTGTCTCTGGTTTTGAATCCGGCCCTTTGAGCAAGCTTAACACGTGTGGATTTAATTTCCCTTTCTTTCTTGCTTTCTCCCCCCCCCCCCCAACCCCAACCCAACCCTGTGAGAGAACAAGAAAAATAGTCTGCTGTGTCGACAGCGTGACACTGTTCGGTTTGCCAAAGAAAATTTGTCTTCCCAGAGCCCCAGAGAGCGGCGGGCTCCCAAGTTTCCATAGGACCCTTCCACGGAGGGTGGGGGTATCCAGACAGCCCCCCGCCTGTACCCCCAGACCTGCATGCGTGAGCCTGAGCCTCTCTTACAGCATCAGAGCGTTGGGACTCGATAGATTGTCACATTCCTTTTAGGGCTTGCTGGCGGTGTAGACTCGGTGTAGACATGGTGACTACACCCTGAGGCTTTGGGCAGGTCCTGGGCTGCAGATAACATGGGAGCTGTCAGGCTCAGCATATACCCCAGGGTCTCTGGGTTCTCTTAGCTGAAGACCCTCACCCTTCGCAACCGGGAACTTCTAAATTGAGGAGGGCCAACACAGTGGGTTCCGTGAGCTGCAAGCGCCTTCTCTCTTCCTTCCCCAACACCAGGGTCCTCGCGGCTGGGTTTTAGGATGATTCCTGCATCCACTTCTCATTTCATTACCCCAAATAAGAAAAAGAGAAAACAGCCCCCAAATTTGAAGAGGTGGGGGCAGAATATTTCCTAAACCCGTGCAACAGCACCGGCCCGGGTACAGATAGCAGCAAGGATGTTTGGTGGGGACACTAGGGAAGCACACTGGACACGCAGCTCGGGTCCAAATGGGAGGCAGGCCCGGAACAAAACACCGCGAAGGGTTATTCCCTGCACCTGGAAGAAGCGCCGGCAGGGCCAGATTTCACTGGGCGAGAGGGAAAGTAACCCCCTGAGAAGCCAGGAAATTTCTCACCCTCCGACTGACCCTCTCTCTTGCAAAATGAGTGGCTGAGTTTGGTCATCTTTTCTATGGTCATGATGCTAACTTACTTTCCCAGCCCCATCTGCACTTCCCTCTACTTTCCCACCCCAGCTGGGGCCCCGGGAGAGGCTGAGACACTGGGAGAGCAAGGACAAGGGTGCGTTCTCTCTTCCCGGAGGAAGGCCAAGTGGTCATTTGGGATGGGACTTCCTCAGCAGCCCAGGTCCTCTTTGTTTGGCTCTCTCGCTCTCGCTCTCGCTCTCTCGCTCTCTCTCTCTGTTTTTAACACAAGAATCCTTTGCTCTCCGACCCACTTCAATATTAAATCAGCGCAGGGATTTTGCAGGCTTGGGGAGCAGCCTGAACTGGGAGCCGGTCTGGAACAGCGCGGGTCCCGGGAAAGCCGAGGGAGGCGCGCGCCGCAGCCGGCGCCCGAGTCCACTGCTCCAGCGAGAACCGCGGCTCTCCAGTCCAGCACGGGGCGGGGGAAAGGTGGGGGGCTTGGGTCTGGAAGCCCACAGGGGCTCCGGGGCGCCTGTGGGATTGTTTTCGAGCCGGGGCAGGCGGTTGCGGGGCCCGCGCCTGCGGTGCGAGAGCAGGGAGCCAGGCCAAGAGGAACTCGCTCCGCTCCGAGTCTCGCCGTCCCCCTTGCAGCCCCGGCGCGGCGCAGGCCGCGGTTTCTGGCCCACCTCGGCCTACAGGTCAACCCGGGACTCGTCTCGGCGGACCAGGGTTTGGGCTACGGACTCCGGGTCGCGTTCTTGGCGTCCGGGAGCCAACGCTGCGGCCAGTGGGGCCTCGGGTTTGGGAAAAGGTAGTTATTAATAACTCGGGAAACGAAAGCGCAGCGCGCGGGAGCCGCGGCGGCCTGGCGGAGAGCGGGGATGCGGCGGCCGCCGGCTGGAAGCAGCACCGGGGGTCCAGCTGGCCGGCACGCCCGCGGCCGGCGCTGGGAGAAGCTGCCCGCTCTCCCTGCGGGCCTGACCTCGCCTCCTGCCGCTGCTCGGCCGCTGCAGCTCCGCGCGGACCGGGCCTGCGGCCAGGCCGTGCCTCGGAAAGCCCTCGGGGACCCGGGGTGCGCCAAACCAGGCGTCGCCTCCTTACAGCTGGGGGGGCCGGTCTCGAGTCCGACGTCCGGCGGCTCCCTCGGGGCCTCTCGGCGGAGAACTTACCCTTCCGGGAGGCCCGGCGCTCGCGGGCTCTGCGCTGGGCAGGCCTAGCTCTCCCCTCTGCGGCGCCAGGGGTGTCTGAGCGGTTTCGCAACAGAACCGAGCGGGTTTCCAGCTAACTCAGAAGCCTGCGCACATCCACCGCCGGACTGCTTAGAAATCACAGCCATTGATCGCATCAGAAATAATAGTCATCGTCCATACAACACAAGACAGGGCCTCTTTTCCGTGCGGACCCCGGAGCTGGGATTTTTTTTTCTCCCTTGCAGAAATCAACCCTGTCCGACCCCACCCGCAGCCGCACCCCGCCCCCGCCAGGCCTCTCGGGGTGCATCGCTCGCCGGGATCGAGCACAGTCCCAGGCCCCGGGTAGAATGGCCTCTCCTTTAGCAAGCCCTGCCGGCTGGCGGCTCTCTTCCTGCCTCCCGGCCTCTGCCTCGCCTCGCCTCGCCTCGCCTCGGCGATCACCCAGCCGTGGCTCCCACGCAGGTCTTTGAGCTGCCACGGAGTTAGCGCGTCCCCGGTGTAGCCCGCTAGACGGGCGCCTCGACATTCGTTTGCCGAGAGCTCCTCCTGGGAGGGGGGGTGGGGTGGGGAATAAATAAATAAACCCTAGAGGTCTCTCGCAGCAATCGAATTGCTGACCCACAGGGGGCCCCCCCAAACGGGTTCCCAGCCCCACTCGGACCGAGAGACCCCCTGCTCCGCCCTCCCCGCCAAAGTCCACCTTGGCTCTGTTTGTGTCTGCTGTTCGACTCCCCCCAGTCTCCCCAGGGAGCACGCGGTGTGTTTCTTTTTCTTTCTGTATTCCCCGGGGCCACCGCGTCCGGGACCGGGACTGATAGGCGAAGGCGCGGAGGGGCGAGCCTCCCGCCGTTGCCCCCCAGTCAGGCGTGACAGCGCGGGCGCGTTGCGTGGCTCGTGACGTCTCCACGTCCTATAGGTGCAGCGCTGGTGAGATAGTCGGTATCGCCGGGTCGCCTCTTTATTTTATGGGGCTATGCCTGGTAATAAACAGTAATATTTAATTTGTCGGAGACCACAAGCCCACTGCGAGCTGGGAGGTACGGGCTCCTCTCGACGGACGCTAGAAGAAGGCCTGGCCTAGGAAGGGGTCGCTTCTGGGGGACTCCCTTCCAAGGTCTCCACCTGGAGCCGCCCTCCTGAGCGAGGCGCCGCGCCTGGCTTCTGCCCCCCCCCCCAAGCCGAGGTGTGCTCTGCGCAGGTGAGTGTCGCCCAAGACTCACGGGGCGCGGCGGGTTTTTCTTCCCCCTTTGCCCACCTTACCTACACTCCTGGATTCTGACCTGCACCCGGTTCTGCTCAGTCTCTCCTGCACACCTCACTGGCGTTCGCCAGCGACATTAGGAGGCACTCCCTTGCATTTTCCTGCGCGGGACACCTGGCAAAAGTGGATTCCTCTCCACCAGGTTTAAGGGGAAAAAAAAAATCCGATTTTGCTAGGTGGCCCTGGCCATCTGCAGTCCAGGAACTGAGTGAATCTGGCTCGGCTCTGACTTGGGGGAGCCCAGAGTTTGCCTCTCAGGAGGGGCCTACAGATTATTTATGGGAATTAATTTTATCCGCAAATCTCGGAGAATTTCAAGGGATTGATGAGGTCTTTCTGGATTTCCCCTTCCTCCTACCGGAGATGTGCAGGCTGCCGCTCATCTCCATGCCATGTTTGCTTTCCGGTTTGGACCGGACGGGCCAGCGAGCCCAAGGGCCTTTAAATGATGATTTAGAAGGGAGCTGGTGTTTTCATAAATAAATAAATTGCCCCTGCAAAGGTCTGTTTGAGAACAAACCTGGAAGGTGGAGGGAGGATTGGTTTTGTCCCTGGCTGGCCCACACTTTGGGCTGGACGACCATTTCGGGGTTTGCGGGGATGGCGAAGCCGCCACAGTGACCTCCCAGGCCCTTCTCCTCCCCCCATTCGTCCCCCTCTGCAGACTTTGGCCTGGGGATGGGCAGTGGGGGGGGGGACAAGTCTCTAAGCAGAGCCCCAAGAGAAGCGGATGCAGGGGTCCAGGAGGCGAGGGAGGGAAGCAGAACGGGACCCCTGGCATTGATTCTAAGCACTGGTCCTCAGCATCCCAGCCGGTTCGCTCAGGCTGAGCCCGTCTGGCTGTTTCTGCTTCTGCTGACCTCTCCGACTCTCCCTCAAAATAATACATTTCAGAGAAAGGAAGGGCTGGTGGCAGAGCCGAACGGAGGAGAGCCCTAGCCGGTCCCCACTGGCTGTTTATTTGAATGAAACTGGGCACTGCCCTTGTGCACCTCCAGCCAGGGCCAGTTGGTGGCCCGGCGGGTGGGGTGTGGGGGCCACGGTGATTTCTTGGCATCTTTGATCTCAGCCCTCGCCGCCCGCAACTGCACCTTCACCCTGCCTTCACCCTGCAGTGGTTGGGAGTGGGGGTGATGAGTGGGGGGCGGAGGGGCGATGTCAGGGCAGCCAGCGCCGGCTTGGCGGGCCAGGCAGGGTCACCCATCTCTCCCTCTGAGGTCAGCGTTGGGGAGAGGATGTGGGCGAGGCCGCAGAGGCCCACGGCAAGCGAGCGAGTGTGTGCACACGGGTAGGACCCTCCATTCTTTGCACAGCCAGCCTCACCGAGATCCCGGGACCGCCCGGGGCACAGTCGGCCCTATTTTTGATGATTCCTGCGGAAGTTTTTGCAGCCAGCGCTCCCTCAAAGGAGCAGAGATGGATGGAGGCTGGGGAGGGGGCGATCGAGGGGTCTTAGGTTTGAGAATCCTGTTGTGATTCCAGTGTTTGGGAAATCTAGTGGAGTCGGTGGTGGAGGAAGGGAGGGCGAGAGGGTGGGAGGGAGGGAGAGGGAGAGGGAGAGAGGGAGAGAGGGAGAGAGGTGGGAGCTAGTTGGATAGTGGATTTCAGTATTTTTGTAAGCATCAAGGCAACCCAGCGTAAGTGCTCACAGCCAAGTTGGCTTGTGTTTCAGAGAGAGAGAGAGAGAGAGAGAGAGAGAGAGAGAGAGAGAGAGAGAGAGTCTTTACCTACAATTCCGGAACTTTAACCCCGAGAGCCTTGCTCAGAAAGGACTTGGACCATTCTTGGCTGCGCCCAGCCTCTCCGCTTTGCTTCTCCCCCGGGGTGCAAGGGGGAGCGGGGCCCTGGGATTCCGAGGTTGCCTGTGCTCCGGGGCAGAGTCGGGTGCTCCTCGGAGCTGTCTGGCGCCTGCCAACTTGACCGTGCTCCGAGAGCGCGAGCGGCGAGCGGAGGAGGTGTGCGCTGGAGGTAGGCAGTCGCGCGGCGGCTGCAGCGGTGGGGACTCCCGCGCAGGCAGCGGTAGCTGCTAGCCGGGGCGAGCAGCTCCCTGCGTAAACCCCGGAGCCACCATGCCTGCGCCCCCGCCTCGCCGCCCACTGCCCTGCTAGGAGCCAGAGGGGACGTGGTGAATGCAGCGGCTTCGCGGAGCGAGGTAACCGGCCCCGGAAGGCTCGGGAGGGAGCCGGGGCGGCTCGGGGCGGCGCGCATGGCGGACTCCAGCCGTGCCGTGCCTTCCGCAGAGCTGCGGCGGCCAGAGGCTGCCAGAGACGTAGCGCGGCCCGGAGCTCGTGGCCGAGTGGAGCCCGGGAGGCGGCCGCGGCTGGGGGAGCAGCGGCGAGGTTCGCGAGACGCGCGGCCTGGTTCTGTCAAACCGCATCTCGTTCGCCTCCGCCAGCCCGGAGCTCCCCGGAACCCTGGCAAGGGCGCGGGCTGGGATTCTCCCTGCGGCCGGCAGCGAGCAGCAGCTGGAGGGGGGTTCAGCCCCACTCTCTTTTGTTGTGAGCAGACTGCGGGGCTCCCACCGCTGCCTCCCCCGAACCCCAAAGGCGAGGAGACCGAAGCTACTTGGGAGTGGGGCCTCCAAAGCCCTCCTTCTCGGCCTATTAAGTATCGGGCCTGGCCCCTGCGGACGAGGGTGGGATCCAGCCTTCTGCTCCCGTGGCGGGCGCCTAAGGTCGTGGGGGCCGCCGCTTGCGCCCGCTTCCCCAAGTCTTCCCGGGTCTTGAGGCGGGAGGGGGCGAGCCCTACTTGGGAATATAGAGACTGGAGGGGCTCAGAGGCCAGGAAACGGGCTCCTCCGGGCTGCTGTTGTTTCAGCCTCGCAGACCTGGGCCGCGCCGGGCGCTGCAGCCGCCCGGGAGTGCCGGTTCAGCAGCCGCAGCCCAGCCGTTCGGCGAGCGCCGATTCTCTGCTCGCCAAACCCGGGCCTGGGCCTGTGGTTTCCGCGCGCAGGGGCCCGGCTGAAGCTCAGAGAAGCTGCTCCGCTCGGCCAGGCCGCTCGACAACATGCCTGGCCCGGGGCTAGGGAGCCGAGAGAGCAGGGCGGAGGCGCAGCCCGGCCGGCGGCCGGCACCCAGGGGCGCGCCTCCCTCGGGGCCTTCTGCTTGTCCACCTTTTGGTTTTCCAGCGGACCTTGCTGTAGTTTGGAGGGCGAGGGAAAAGAGAGGTCTTTTCGTTTTCAACAAGTTCTCATTTTAAGGCCGGTAAGGGACCAGAGACGGAGGCGACTTCTCTTTTGAACCTGGTCTCTTCACGGGCACACCTCCTTCCCCTGTGTTTTTGGTTTTGCAAGAGGCGGGTTATTTCCGGCGTCTTGCCTGCAGCAGAAAAATATCCCTCTCGTTAAATTTCATAAAAAGAGCTCTGAGGGCTGCCTGTAATTTGACAAGGGGGGAAAATTCTCAAAAGGACACTGGGGTTTTTGTTTTGTTTTGTTTTTGGTTCGTACCCAATGGCTTCCAAAAATACCCACGCCTTATCTTTATTGGCTGTTCCAGAAGTCCAGACAAATCTGACGGGCAGCGGCTTATCGGGGAGAGCCTGCCCAGTGGAGATGGGGGCCTGGCCTCCTGCGCTCTGACGCGGGTCTTTCGCAAGAGGCCGTGCACGATCATAAAGTAATAGTAAGGCGAATAATAAGACCTTCGGCGGCCTCACTCAGCTGGGAACGGAGGTGCTGGTGGCTGGAGCTTGGGGCGCCAAGCTGCACCCTCCTCTCGCTAAAACTGTACTCTCCAACTTATCTCTTGGCATTTCTCTCTCTCTCTCTCTCTCTCTCTCTCTCTCTCTCCTTCTTGTCCTCAGAGCAGAACCTTGTGCGGGCACAGGGCCCCCGGCGCACCATGGCCGACGCAGATGAGGCCTTTGGCCTGGCTCACACGCCCCTGGAGCCTGACTCTAAAGATCTACCTTGCGATGCCAAACCCGAGGGTGCATTGGGGACCCCCAGCAAGTCCCCGTCGTCCCCGCAGGCCGCCTTCACCCAGCAGGTAAGAAGACAGCGGCGGGCCGTAGCCCTCGGGCCCTGGGGTCCAGACCAGAGCCAGCAGCGGCTGCTTCTCCGCTCTGCGCCAGCTGCGGGCTCAGAAGGAAACCCGCCCAGTGCCCGTTTTTGTCTCTTTTGTGTTCTTCCTCCGTTCCACCTCTGTCTGCCCTCTGTCCCCAAATACTAGTCTATTTGGTACACTTCTTGGGGACGATGATCGGCAGGCCAGAAGCGTTGTTGGGGACGTCACAGCTCGGCAGCCCTTTGGGGTCCTCTACCAGTAGCCCAGCTCAGTCCTTTCCTACTGCCCTAGGTGCAGCACCGGCCCCGAGCGCCTTATTACGGCCCGGGTCAGCGGCCGCTTCAGGCCGGCATGAGCGATGGTTTGACCTCTCTTCAGATCTTTCGCCTTCGCCTCCGCCCGCCTCCTCCGCGCCGCCGCCTAGACCCGCGCGCCGCACCATTTGTCTTGAGGTCGGGGCCTGGCGGGCTGGCGAGCCCTCGCCGGCTGCAGGGTGCGCTCGGGGGCTATGCCAGGAGGACCCAGGGAGCCCGGGCTCGCCTGGGCAGAAGCTGGGTCCGAGCTGAGCGAGGAGGCAGGCCTTGCGCTCTGGGCCCCAAACCTGGGTGCATTGCACGCCCCAGGCGGCGGAACTCAAACACCCCCGATGGTTTTTAAATCGGGTGTCACAGGGCGCGAAGCGGGGTGATTTGACCACAAGAGAGCACTTGCGCCTAGCTAAAACCCTTCCGCGGCGGCATTTCATTGTCTTTCCCGGCTTTCCCATAGCGTTTCTCCATTGCCTTCACGGCCCAGGAAAATGTGTGTGTGTTTGTACAGCCCAGAGCGTGATCCCATTTTCGGAGACTTACAGAAAATTTTGCTTTTAAGGAAAAAGAAAATCCACTTTTGAGATGGGTTACGGAGATATTTTTCAAGCGGAGACTGTTGCTATTTTGTACCGTGTTTTGTAGATTTTTAGTTGAAAGCGGAAATATCAAAATGGTTTCAACCGTGCTCCGTAGTCACAATTGCCGAAAGTGGACTGAGCTAGCTGTGGGGAGGCCTGGAAGGTTTGCTCACCCAGATGGACAGAATTAATTTTTGTTCTGGATTGTGGGAACAACATGGTAATATAAACACCATGAAATGTGAAATTTCGCGAATGCTCCTATTTGCACTCACCACGGCGCTGAATAACCAGGCACATCTCCGCACATCTGTGTTTTTTTTTTTTTTGCGTGGACATCTGGGGGTCTAGACCAGAGTAGCCTGCATGGAGTTTTCTAGATTGGGGGTTTTCTCTCTTTTTAAGTTTAAACTGGATCTGGATTGAACCTAGCCAGCCAGGCTTTGCCCACAGCCACTCGCGAGCATGTTGGCCGTGGATGGTTCTTTCATTCTGTGCTGGTGGCATTAGAGGGAGGTGGCCCAGCGCTGTGGGAACAGGAGAGGATTGGAAACCGGCTCCTCCACTGGCCCTACGCAGGGATTCCTGGAGAAGAGGCTGGGGGCACTCCAGGGCAGGCACACCCTGAAGGGTCATGGGCGGCTGTTCACCCTCAAGCCGCCTGCAGCGGGAGAAGGAGCAACAGTCTGGGTCTGTTTTTTGGGGGGAAGTGTCAGGCGGGCAACTCCCCTGCACCCCAGAGCGTGTTCCTGTGACTTTTTTCTCCTTCCTGCAGGGTATGGAAGGAATCAAGGTGTTTCTGCACGAGAGAGAGTTGTGGCTGAAATTCCACGAAGTGGGTACGGAAATGATCATAACCAAGGCGGGAAGGTGAGCCGCTGTGTGCGCGCGCGTGCGCGTGTGCGTGTGCTCGTGTGTGTGTGTGTGTGTGTGTGTGTGTGTGCGTGTGGCAGGGGCAGCTGTGCCCAGGGCTCTTGTGGGGGAGATGATGGAGAGAAGGTGGCTGGGGGTGAGAGCATGGGGTTCCGCTCCAGGAGGCGCAGGGAGAATTCGCCCACGGATCTCCAGCTGCGTGGGGGGAATACCCCAAACAGTCACCTCCAGAAATGGGCATTTTCTGTAGCTCCCAGGCAGGAAGAAGGAAGGGGTTGGGAGGCTGAGCCGCCTGGATGGATTCGTCCAGAGAGAAACCGGGACGTGGAAGGGGGAGCACAGAGGCACAGCCCGGCTTAGGGTTGCGCAGGTCTCCGACGCGATCCTTCACCCCCACCACCACTCCCACCCTCTCTGACCTTGGAGTGGCTCCAGGGTCCCACCGACTGCCAAACTCCGAATTGTTGAATGTATGCGCTACCTTCTTTCATTGTTTATAGAAGGCAGGCGAAGCCTTTGAAACTGAACCGGGGCTCGGCCGAGCTCTATATACAGACACCGATAAACAGGGCAGCTTCGCCAAGACACTCACCCCTGGCGCTCCGCTTAGACGCTCGCGGAGCTGTGGCTACAGACGCTAGCCTCGTGGGGGAGGGGAGGCCGGCGCGTCCCCGCGTGCCCAGGCCTGGGGACACCCTCCCGCTTCCCCGGCCCGGCCGGGCGGCTTTTCCACGTGGGTCTCTGCCCGAGGCAGGCGGGCGAAGCCACGGAGGCCGCGAGGCCGAAGCCACGGAGTGTGTGAAGCGGGAGGGTGGAGCTCACTCCCCGACGCCCCCGGCCTCTCCAGCCCAAGCCTCCCGCAATAAACTGACAACGGTGACATTTATTATTATTTGAAATTAAACAAAGTCGGCTCCCCCGCTCGGCGCGAGGCCTGATTCAACGAGGGAAGCGCGTTCTGTTTATACCAACGAAATGAGGTCCTCTTCCCTTTCCCGGAGGAAGGAGAGACCTCTCCGGGACGCCTTCCCCCCCAGCCCGCGCCTGAGCCGAGAGGATTTCACTATAAAAGGCCTGCGGAGCCTCCTACGCCGCTGCCTCCGGGCGCGCTCCCGGGCGGATAAACCCGGAGAGGCTTCCGCGCCGTGGCTGCAAGGCACAGCCTGCAGTTTCCCATCTTCGCAGCAGTGCCAGGCGAGCCAGCTCCAGCAGCTTCTCCGTGCGCCCCAGGGCAGCCCTGGGGGTCGCGGAGTTCCGGGGCGCACTCCGCGGGAGGTGGATCGAGTCCTGGTGGATCGAGGGTTCAGGCCCCAGCTCTTACTGAAACCAACTCCACAGTGGCTTTGGCATTTCTTTGCTAAGGGCCAGGGAGTTTCGCCTGGGTGAAGTTTGCCGACATTTAAGAATAAACTCTTGCTAGGGCTCCCTGGTCGGGGAACCAACCGAGTTAGCCAGGGCGCCGGTGCCCTCGCCCCTGCAGAGAGTTAATGGGAAGCCAGGGCGCAGGGGCGCGCGCACCTGGGTGTCCGCGGGACGCGCGCGGTGCGAGGCTGGGCCGAAGCGCCTGGCTGCACGGGGCTAAGAAGCCTCGTTCCCCGGAATAGTAGGTGCCTGGCTCTGCAAAGGGCATTGAGCAGGCGTTGACGCGGGAGTCCCTCCCAGACCCCGGAGAACCAGTGTTCTAGAAGCGCCTGCCTCCTGGTTTCTGTTTTCCTCCTGGATACCTACAGTGGCCGCCTCCCTCCCCCTCCCTCCTCCGCACGCACGACAATGTCCAGGGAAACCCGGGCTGGATCCCGGGGAGAGCGGAGCGGGGCCCGTTTTCGCGTCCACGGTGTTTCCCCAGGAATTTCTTCTCCATCACACGGGGTGGAGGTGCTCTTTGGAATACGGATATTAATTCTCCGCTCCCCTCCCCCCTCCCCGCCCCCGGCCCCGTCCCTCTCTCCTTCTCCCTCTACCTTTCTTCCAGGCGAATGTTCCCCAGTTACAAAGTGAAGGTAACTGGCCTCAATCCCAAAACGAAATACATTCTCCTCATGGACATTGTCCCTGCCGACGACCACAGATACAAGTTCGCCGATAACAAATGGTAGGCACCAGAATGGCAGGTGGGCGAGGGCGGGGAGGAGACTGTCCGCCCCTCCCCCACTGCGCCAATGTACCTGTTGGAGAGGGTGCTGTGTCCAGCCCACTGCTCTCTGCTGGTCACAGTTCCCACTGTGCCCCATTTTATGGACTAGAAAACTGAGACTGAGAGGAAACGGGGTACCTGCATCTATGGCAGCACCCAGGGTTGTGGATTTTTCAAAAGGGTATTGTTACCAAGTGCTGGAGGTATTTCTGGGGGCATAAAACCATTTACAGTGATTTTTTATGAGTTAACCTGCTTTGAACGGGCCTTTTTAATTAAATTGCAAAATCGGCCCCTGGTATTTCAGTTAACGCGGCAAGAGAGGAGAGGCCCCGTCCCTGGACGGGTTGCTCCCACCGCTGCCAATAGTGCCGAGACTTGAAAGCGAAGCCCCTTTGAAAGCCCCTAAGGAGACTTCAAGACTTCTTGCACATCCAGACCTCCAGAGCCTGCTGCTGTCTTGCAGCGAGAAACTGCGAGGTCCCAGGCGCTCCTGGCGCAGAAGGTGCACGCAGAGAGAGCAGGCCAGGGAGCTTTGCCCGACACCGGCGCCAGGCGCTCAGGGGCACTGGGTTTGCTGGGGTGGGGGTGGGGGTGGCCATTTCCAGATCATCCCCAGCTCAGAGCACTGCCCCTGAGGCTCCCCGGCCACAACTCTCTCCGCTGTAGGTCTGTGACCGGCAAAGCGGAGCCCGCCATGCCAGGCCGCCTGTACGTGCACCCAGACTCGCCGGCCACTGGGGCACACTGGATGCGGCAGCTCGTGTCCTTCCAGAAGCTGAAGCTCACCAACAACCACCTGGACCCCTTTGGACACGTGAGTACCGAGGCCCTAGGCTGTGCCCCTGCCGCCGCCTCTTGTGCCTATGTTTTCCATCGCTCCTTCCCCCAGCCCCCTTATTCTCTTCCGCTACCTCTTGGATCTGACTTCTCTTCCTTTTTTCCCCTACTCCCCCATCTTTTCTCTGTCCTTTTATTTCTCTCTCTTTCTTTTGCTTTCTTTTTCCTCCTCCTCCTCCTTCTCCTCCTCCTCGGATGTCTGCTGGTCCCCCAGTGGTCCTCCCCTCCTGCTCTGGGTCTCTCCTCCCCAGGCAGCTGGAGATGCGGGCTGGTCCGGTCCTCCTGGCAGGGGGGCTGCATCCTTGCTGCTAGCAGCCAACTCTCTGCTTCTGTCGAGGGTGAGACTTGAGGGGTCACTACAGCTGCTCACTTCAGGCCTGTGTGCCCCCCCTGGGCCTCAGTCCCCGGTGTGGTTAGGGACAGGGCTGGCTTTCAGTCCTGCAGAAAGCGTGGAGCCTGCAGCCCAGTGGGGTCCCTAGCATGCACTGCTGAGAGGCCGGCTCCCCAGGAGCCGCCTACCTGCCCCGTGGCTTCCACACCCTGCCTGATCTGAGAGGGAGAGCCCGGGATGAGGAGCCAGCCCACGAGGGGTGAGCCGTCCCGCCAGTGATCTGGGGCAGATCTGTTTGTTCCAGTGCCCAACTTTCTCCCTGCCCCCACTATGCCCCAAGGAAGCAGACCTAGACGAGGCCCCTAAGCCTGGAATCGGGATTGGCCCCTAAAGAGGGGTCCTGTGAGTTCTCCCAAACCCAAGATCCTCAGTGTTCAGCCCCAGCCGCCCCATTGTAGCTTTTGGTAGATTCTCAGTTGGGCATCACCCACTCCTCCCAAGAAAAACACCGAATTTTGTAAAAGTGTCCCCAGATCTCCCCGTTGGAAACAATCACTAGAACAGAACGCAGGCTCTGAACTCAGCATGCAGAACCTTCCGCTTGTCCGTTGCACCTACAAGCAGGCTCATCCAGCTCAGGGCATTCGACAGGGTCAGTGGCCCACGCAGGGGCACCGCCACGCGCAGCCTCTGTCCGGGGGAGGCCGCGGGAAGGGGGTGACTTGCCCAAGGCCACACAGCCTGTATTTGGGGACAGGGGTTTGAGGCCAGGTCTCTTTGGTTCCAAAAGTGGGGAGTGTCTCTCCCGGGAGAAACCACCCAGGCACACAGGGTCCCCAGTTTGGGGAGAGGAGGGGGCTGGGCGGGTTGTGTTTGGCCAGGAGGGAGGATGGTTTGCTCCTGGGGGTCCTTGGGGATGTTGTCCTGAAGCCAGGGGTCTGGAGTGGGAAGGGGACCTCAGGACCTGCAGACAGCCCTCCGCTGAGGCCGAGAGGCGCTTGCACGGCTGGCCAGGGGGCAGAGCGGCAGTTCCCTGTCCGTGTTACTGGGAGGGCAGAGGTACAGGGGGCTTCCTAGCGGGAACTGGAGCCTCTTTTCCATCTAGATGAGGGCGTGTGGCCCACCGCAGGTGTTGCTGGTGTTTCCCAGTGCGGGAGTGCCCCGGGGCTGGGTGGTGTTGGGTGCGGACCTGTCCCTCCAGAACGCAACCATTTTGTAAGGGCCCTGTGTGCTGGGAAGTGGAACCCTCCGCCTCCGCCCTCAGCGACCCCTTAGCTTCTCTGGTCGATGGCCGGGGAAGGCGCCCAGCCCGGCCGCCGAGGCCACGGTGTCTGGGGCACCCTGGCGAGTCCGCAGGTCCTTCCGAACCCGGGGATGGGGCACTCGGCGCCGCCGCGCGTCCCCGCCCCCTCCCCGCTCCGGACAGTCTGATCCAGAGTCGCTCTGATGAAATTAGGAGCCATTAGATCGCCCTCGCGCTGATGTCTCCACACTGTCCCCAGCCGTCAAAGCAATTTGGCTAAGCCGGGCCGATGGCCGCGCCGGCCAGGGGGCTGCGGCGGCCGGCGGGGCCCCGCTGCGTCTCTCTGTCGCCACCGCCGCCCCGGTCGGCGTCGCTATCGGCCGGGGAGGCGGCCGGGCTGGACAGCCCGAGATTAGAGCCGCGCGGCCGGAGAGCCGCTGCCCCCTCCCCCCGGCCCGGGGCGGGCTCCGGGGTTGGTCCGAGGGGCCTGCCCCGGGGTCATCATTGCAAATAATCAAAGACACTGAGACAGCCCCCGCCGCTGCTTGGGAAAGGGCCCGCAGGCTGGGCAGGCGCGGCGCGCGCTCGGTGGGCGCGGATCAGCGGCCGGGGGTCTCCCGGGAGCGTCCGAAGTCGGGCGGCGGCCGCCCAGGAAACCCCGTTTCTTGGCATCGCGGCGCATCTCCCGCGAATGCTCCTGGCTGGAGCGAGAACGTGCAGCCGAGGTCTCCTTCCTCTCCTCCTCCTCCTCCAATAATAATAATAAATAATAACAATAATAATAGGAATAGGAATAATCGTAGTCACAGCAGTCAGACCCCGTGCATCCCTGGAAATAGGGCCGCCAGGGAGGGAGACCCTAGGCCCCCAGAAGCCTAGCTCTGGCTGTGGACCCCGTGACGTTGCCCGAGCTGAGGGGCGAGGCCTGCTTCGCCCCGGAGCCCCTCCCAGCCCCTCTTTTCATGCCCCAGACAAAGGGCCAGGACTGCTGCTCTGTTCCGGGAACACGTGCAGCCGCTGCTGCCCGTCCTCCGGTTTGCACACACTTCCTCCGCGACCCGGAGCGTTCCGGGCGCGCCCTGTATTTGTGGGTTTGTTTATTTGTGTCTTCCCCATTCTTCTACAGTTGTCGCCCAGAATTTACCCCTCAGACCCCAGATTGCTCACTGCACACTTGCAGGGATCCTGCTGGGGGCGGGAAGTGCAGGGAGTTAATTTATTAAGCAAACTTTATTAAGAATTCTGATTTACTGCTCTGTGTGCCTTGGGTAGATTCCTGGAATATTACCCTGGCTTTTTCGGTTGGAAATTGTCATTTTTGAAATGTTTCTTTTTAATGAAATCATTGGCCCCTTTTCAAAAGAGGAGGGAAAAAAATCTATTTTTCTAGAGCCCTTATAACGAGGGTGATTGGGCAGGGTGTGTGTGGGGGGAAGCAAGGGGCAGTTTTATCTGGAAACAAAGGGAGGTTTGATTTTCTTACAATCTCATTTTCTGTATTTTGTTTAGATTATTCTAAACTCCATGCACAAATACCAGCCCAGATTACACATCGTGAAGGCGGACGAAAATAATGGATTTGGCTCGAAAAACACGGCGTTCTGCACCCATGTCTTTCCAGAGACAGCCTTTATCGCCGTGACTTCCTATCAGAACCACAAGGTAAAGCCCCAGCCCGGGACCCAGCGCCGGGGGCGTCTGCTCCTTGGCGGGAGTTCGCAGGGGTCTCTAGGCCGGAACTCCAGGCTCCAAGGGCAAGTTCATTCCTCCGCCACGCCACGCGGCAGGACCCGCTTCTCCCCCTGGGGGGCTACTGGAGCAGGGACACAGATGCAGCCTTCGTTAAGGGTTGTGACTGTTTGTTTCGGATTCCCCAAGCTTGCTATGGGCATCACGCGCACGTCTAGGGGCGTGCAAGGATTTCGGTGTTGTATGCCTCCGAATAGGTGTCTCTTTGAATCACATTTTCTGCAGGCTTTTTGAAGTACCCTCGTAGGCACGCACACCAGTTAGAAACAGGCATACGCAAATGCCGGGAGAAGGCGACCTGCTGATCTCCTGAAAGTCTCAGAGGGAGGAGAGCTCGCTCTGAGCTGTTGTATGGTCCTGAGCTCTCTCATGTTGGGGCCTGGGACCGCCCCTCATGGGGGCCACCTTTGCTGTTGGGGTCAGCGTCTTCCTGTCCTCTACTTTGTGTTTTAGGGGCATCTCAATGGGCAGTGGGGCAGGTGGCAAAGTCTGTGTGTGTGTGTGTGTGTGGTGGGGTGGTGAGTGCAGGCCTTGTGGGGACGGTGTGGCCCCTCCTCTCAAAACTCCCGTCCCAGCCAGGCCAGCGGAGTCAGGGTGGGGGAAGCTGATCAGAGGCAGGCGTAGTGGCCCAGAGCCTCGGGTCCCCACAGGACGGTCATCTCAGTGCAGGCTGCGAGGCACAGAAGGTCTCCATGGAGGCGGGGGCTGTTACGTAACAAGTGGTGATCTCCAAACCCAGCTTGTCACTGACCAGGCCACGCGGTGATGGATGGTCCCTTCCAGGCCACACGGCCTGGCCTTGTCTGGGAACCCGGATCTGGAGGGAGCTGCCTTCCGTCCGTCCGGAAGAGAACTGGCTCCCCTGGAAGCAGAGATTTGGAAGCAGGGAGGAGGAGTGTTGGGAGTCGCCCCAGGCAGAGCACGGTGGTGCCGTGGAAGTCCTACAAACTCTTTCAGGTCAATGTGAGGCTGGTGTCCAGAGAGCTGCTCCCTCTGCGGCTGCTATGGGCCTATGTTTAACTTTGTGGTCACGATCACAGGAAAAATAAAGGGGAAAACCAGCAGTGAGAGAGCTCAGTTCCCCACGTATATACGCTGAGAGCCTCCGGACCTGACAGAGGGCCCCAAAATACATCAGGGCTTTTTTTCCCCCTCTTGAGAAAACCCAGGTTCATCCAGGAAGGACAGGAAGTGGGGACAAATGAAGGTGACCTCCCGAGAAAGCATCCTGGGGATGCACTGGGATCTTAGGGGTGGGCGGGTCTGGGGGAGGGAGCCCCGTGCTCCTTAACCCTTTGTTTGTTGTATCGTTTTTTGAGGCATCGCTGTCACACAGTCAGGTGTAGTATTTGGAAGACACCCAACGGTCACCACAGCCCTTCCTGAACAGATCCGAACCCCCTCAAATGTCTGTCTTGAAAAATTTTCTCCCCCCCGTGCATATGTGCACCTATGGGTGCCTGCCCAACGAGGCACATGTGTGTGAGTTCTGACCAAAATCCGGGGGGCTGTGTGTCCAAATGGTCATGGGTGTAGAAGCGTGTATCCCCCCCACACGCATGCATGTCCTGGCCACACACGTCGGGATTGCTTTCTCTTTCTGTGTTGGCTGGGTCAACACAGGGAGCCCAGTGGAGCTGCACATAAAAGCACCTTTGGCCAGGCTGTCAGGGTCCCTGGCATCCCGGAGAGGGGTTTCATGGGAAGCCACCTTCCATGGCTGTCCCCTGTGCCGGCTGTCCTGCTGCCGCCTGGCACTTGTTTTCTTTGTCAGGAGCAAGTCCAAGCAGTGCACTTTTCCAGTCAAAGCTAAAGCCAAAGCCCCTGCAAGCATTCGCCGCGTGGATATATGATGTGTGATTTAAATAAGCGTGCCAGGATCGCATGTGATTTGTGGACTCAGTCTGCTTCCTTTATTGTCCCACCTGGGCCGGCTGTTGAGACTTCTGACTTCATGGGGAGAAGCCAGCTGAGTTCTTACTCACCACTGGGTAGGGTTTAGCGGTGGACTGCTTGGGTTCGGATCTATTTGACTTTGGGCAAACGATTTAACTGTTTCCGCATCTGTAAAATGGGACTACTAGAACATCCGCCTCCCAGGGTCGTCACGAGGACTCGGTGAGATAATCGGTGGAAAGTGGAACACGCAGGGCCTGGCGTAGAGCTGGTGCCGAGTGCTACCAATGATTGATCAGACTATTGATTGGCCACTTAACTGATCGGCTTTTTTAACAAGGCGACTTAATCCAAAACGTAGACTCTGCCTGGTCAGTGTAATTCCTTGGCTGTTTAGCATGGGAAAGACTGCGATGTTAAATAAGTTCTTATTACTGTGGTTGAGAAATAACTACAAATGTTAGTCTTTGTGGTTGGCTTGGCTCGTTCTCTGATCATGTCGTCAATTCAAGGACTATTTGTCTAGCGTTTTGTGAGCAGGGGAAGGAGAGCAGTGTGTGGGGTTCCATTGCCAGGACAATTTGGGGGGGGAATGAGCCACTGATGTTCTGGTCAAAGTGCTCCTGCCTCCGGAGTGAGCTTTCTGTACTTGGGTGCAGGTACCAGGTGCAGGTAGGCATTGGAGCGGTCAGTTTTAGTGGGGGGGGGGGGGGGGGGGGAAGGGAGGGTTTGTTCCCCTTTCTGGAGACCAGAGGACTCTTAACGACCAGCCGCCTTTCCCCAGCCCAGCTGTGATCCGAGCTGGATTTGGGAGTTATTTCCCCAGATGGTTGACAGCTTGAAAAAGATATTTAAAAAACTCGAATCTTCCCCAGCGACGGCCGCTCTGTGAAACAGGTTCCTGTAAGGTTTTCACTGCGGTTGTCAGCAGCTCCCAGGGCAAGCCCTAGAAATATTTAGGTGTTAAAAAACAGGTCACGTGGCCATTTCATTTCCCCGCTCCTGCAACAATGGCTGTGTATGCAAGCATGCCTATCCCCCAATATTAACCCACTCTGCCATTAAACGCCATTTTCCTCCTGCTTAAATCATTGTGTATGCAGCCTGTATTTATGAGGTACAAGCTTGCTGGTGGGGACCAGGAAATGAACCCTTAATAGAGAGACATAATTAAGATTTTTGGCCCTCGTGAGGTTTTTTTTTTTTTTAATTTTTTGTTTCAAAAGCAAGAATTCACAACAATTATTCTCATTAATTTTTACAACCCCTGTCTCACCGGTTGAAGCTGGTATTTATATTTGCTCCCCCCCAGCCCCTCCCCTCCCCCTGCCGGATATCCGGTTTTATGCTGATTTTGGAGAGAGTGCGTTTGTGTGGGAATAGAGGTCAGATTCAGTGGAGGCTTCTGGCAGAGCGGGGAAGCCCAGGTGTGTCAGCTTGGGTACTCCAGAGGGAAGGGGATTTTATAAGTAGGGGTTAGAGAGCAAGGAGCCATGTTCAAAATAAGACAGATATTTCTACCTGCAGGTAAGCTTGTATGTTAACATTTCCCAAGGGTCAGTACTTTGAAAAAAGATTTATTTATTTTGGGGCTGTTGCTGTAGCACAGTAGGTTAATGCCCTGGCCTGAAGCGCCAGCATCCCATATGGGTGCCAGTTCGAGTCCCAGCTGCTCCACTTCCAATCCAGCTCTCTGCTATGACCTGGGAAAGCAGTAGAAGATGACCCAAGTCCTTGGGCCCCTGCACCCATGTGGGAGACCCGGAGGAAGCTCCAGGCTCCTGGCTTCAGATCCGGCCATTGCAGCCAACTGGGGAGTGAACCAGCAGATGGAAGACCTCTCTCTCTCTGCCTCTCCTCTCTCTGTGTAACTCTGCCCTTCAAATAAATGAATAAATATTTTTTGAAAGACACACACACACATAGAATGCATTAGAGAGAGAGAGAGAGAGAGAGAGATTGTCTCTTCACTAGTTCACTCCCCAAATGTCGGCAACAGCTGGGACCGGGCCAGGCTGAAGCCCGGAGCCAGGAACCCCATCCAGGTCTCCCACAGGGGTGGCAGGGACCCAGCGACTTGAGCCATCAGCTGCTGCCTCCCAGGATGTGCGTTAGCAGGAAGCTGGGTGGGAAGCAGAGGCGGGACTCAGTCCCAGTCACTCCAGTGTGGGACACAGACATCTGCAGCAGAGGCTGAACCCACTGCATCACAACAGCCACCCATAAAAATCTCTTTAGACTTTTTTTACTTATTTGACAGGTAGAATTAGACAGTGAGAGAGAGAGAGAGAGAGAAAGGTCTTCCTTCTGTTGGTTCACCCCCCAAATGGCCGCTACGGCCGGCGCTGCGCTGATCTGAAGCCAGGAGCCAGGTGCTTCCTCCTGGTCTCCCACGTGGGTGCAGGCACCCAATCACCTGGGCCATCCTCCACTGCCCTCCCAGGCCACAGCAGAGAGCTGGACTGGAAGAAGAGCAGCCAGGACTAGAACCCGGTGCCCATTTAGGGTGCTGGCGCCGCAGGCGGAGGATTAGCCAAGTGAGCCACGGTGGCGGCCCCCAGTAGACTTTTAAAAAGAGTCCTCTTGCAGCCACAGTAAAGCTGGGTGGGAAGCAGAGAGATTTCTCATTCTCCCTCTACTGGCAGCTGCAAAGCGGCCCCTGTTATCAACATCCCACACCAGACAGAACATTGTCACGGTCCATGAGCCGACACTGACACATCACTGTCACTTGGAGCCCAGCGTCTGCAGGGGGCTCCTTCCTGGTGTGGTGTGGACAGAGGGCCGTGACGTGGGGCGCTGTCCCGTGGGTGTGGACAGAGGGCCGTGACGTGGGGCTCTGTCCCGTGGGTGTGGACAGAGGGCCATGACGTGCAGCGCTGTCCCGTGGGTGTGCTGTCCTGTGCAGGGAATTTCACGGCCCTGAGTCCTCTGTGCGTGCCCCTGCCCACCCCTCCTCCCCCCACTACCTGGCAGCCATGGCTCTGTTCATTGTCTCCGTAGCTTTGCCCCTCCCAGAATGTTACTTAGTTGAAATCCTGTATTTCCTCCTTTTTTAAGATCTACTTTTTAAAAAATGTATTTGCGAGGTAGAGCTAGAGAGAGAGGGAAGAGACAGAGATATGTTCCATTTGCTGATTCAGCCCTTCATGTCTGCAGCAGCCAGGGCTGCACCAGGCTGAAGCCAGGAGCCTGGAGCTCCATCCGGGTCTCCCACGTGGATGCAGGGGCTCAAGCTCTTGGGCCATCTTCTACTGCTGTCCCAGGCCATAGCAGAGAGATGGATCGGAAGCATAGCAGCCGGCACTAGAACTGGCACCCATATGGGATGCTGGCACTTCAGGCCAGGGCGTTAACCCGTTGTACCACAGCCCGGTCCCCCAAAGTGCCTCTCTAATATGGGATGCTGGCATCGCAGGCAGTGCCTTAACCCACTGAGCCACAGCGCCAACTCCTGGGATCATATTGAAACACATTAATTATGAATACATTGTGTTGTGATTGCACACATATAATGTGTTCATTCTACAAGGGTCTTAGAAGGAAACCTTACAGGCATCTCTTCAGGAAAACGGAACGTACAAGAATGCCTCAAATGAACAAATGGGAGAGAGCATTCATTATTGATCCCTGAACAGGGACTCTCAAAGTATGTTTGCACTACTGGAATAGATGCGGCGATTTTTTAGGGGAGCTTGAATATGATGGAATCGCAGAGGGAAAATCTTTCTCGTCGCTCCTCTTAGCTGAGGACTAGACTGTGTTACATTCGCCTCTGAAGGCATTAGCACCTCCCCTTGCAGCAAAGAGAAGGCTCGTTCTGGACTGGGGCTTTCTGTGGGTACCAGCAGAAGGAGTTCGATATAATTGGCCCCTTTTTTGCTGAGCGGCAGGGGAGGGATAGGATATGGGTGAAATGAATTTACGTGGAAGTGGCTTGATTTAAATAAAGAAGTCAGGCTCACCTGGGGACAGGTGCTGGACAGACAGACAGCGAATTGGGGCCATGCTGCTGCCGTGTCTAGGGTGGGAATTCTTTGTGAGAGAAGGCAACTGCCAGGCAACACGGTGCAAACGCTTCTAGACAACTCTGCATGCACGCGCTCTGTCACCTGGGCCTGCTACTGTGTGTTCACACTCATCTAATACGCGTCGATGGTTCAAATTAAAGGTCTGGGCCTGGAACCAAAATCCTCAGAAAGACCCTGTTCTATTTCTCAGCTGTGCTGTGTCACCGTACAGACTTCCAAGGTCGCTCTCTCTCCTCCTCGCCTGGGAGCTTGAAGGGGCGTGGACTCACAGCTACAAGGGGTCTTCCAAAAGCTCAGAGAAAGCTACGCAAGGCTTTCAAAACGCTTTCACCCCAATGAACTCGTAATTCCATTTTTCATGAATTTTTGAAGTGCTTGTGATTGTTCTGATTCTTGTCTGTTGCTGCTTATTTATTTATAATGAAGTTGAACATACTTGCTTTAAAGATAATTTCATTTTATTTTAAAAAGAGAGAGAAGAAGAGGGAGAGATCTTCCATCTACCGGTTCACTCCGCAAATGCCCAAAACAATCAGGCCTGGGCCAGGCCAAAGCCAAGAGCCCAGAACTCCATCCGGGTCTCTTACGTCAGTGGCAGGGAGCCAAGTCCTCGGGGCCATCACCTGGCGCCTGCGAGGTGCCGGTTGGCGGGCAGCTGGGTGGGAAGTGGAGTAGTTGGGACCCTGTACAGGAGGCCCTGGTGTTTGTTTTAAGCAGCACCATTTCCCACCTGAGCTCGCCAGCTCTGTCTGTGAAACCATGAAATGCGCATGCAGTGAGGCCTGGCACAATGTTTAGAAGCAATCCTCACATGCTGGAGCCAGCCCTTCCGCGTGGAGACCGCCACGGTGCCGCCGGGTGCTCAGCAGCCGTGTGCACGGGGCTCCGGAGACAGGGGACCAAATGTGGAGGCCGGGATTGTGCTTGAAACACAAAATGCCAAAGATTAAAAAAAAAAAAAGAAAAAAAAAAACCCTGGCTGGAATGATGCAGAGTATGACTCTAATTAATGGGCAAACCGAATCCAGGTTTTTTCCCCCCTTTTAAAAGCAGCCTGATGTCGGACGTTTTTCAAAGCCTCGGCGAGAATGAAGTGCTGGCTCTGTTGACGTGCCTGCCTTAATTTGCTTCTCTGGGTTGCTGGAGGCTGCGTTTCCACGACACTTCTCATTAGCGCGTGGCAATCGAGTGGAAACCAACTCGCTCTCTCTCCTTCCCTCAGATCACGCAATTAAAGATCGAGAATAATCCCTTCGCCAAAGGCTTCCGGGGCAGTGACGACATGGAGCTGCACAGGATGTCCAGGATGCAAAGGTAGGGGCGGGGCTCCCACCCCCTCCCCCGCACACAGCCCTCCCCCCCCCCCCCCCCCGTGGAGTGCAGGTGAGCCTGCAGCACCCCGCCCCCCGCCCCCCAGCTTCCTGCCCACACAGTGCCAGGAACTCAGACGGGGGGGGGGCGGGGGGATGAGCCTCCTGCACCCCTCTTTCTGATGACCCTCGAGAGGGGGTGACATCACCAGGCCACCTGGAAGGTGGACCTTCCCATGGAGACGGGGAGGGGGCCACAAGGAGGTTCACCGCTCCCCATCGGCCTCGGGAACAGAACCTACCGCGCTCTCCTTTTCCTCGGCTGTCTCTCTCCTTCGACTGAAGCCTTTCTTTTTTTTTTTTTTCCCATAAGTCACAGCCGATGAATGCTATTCTTTTTGGCAACAGCTCTTGGTAAATGAAAGAGAAGTTAATGACTTGATTTCCTGGGGGTGAAATACAGACAAACTTGACACCATGTGGTGTCCAGGGCACTGGGGGATTTGAAGCTGGTGCTAAAAATTGCTCGGTATTTTTACATATCCTGTGGTCACAGTTGCTGATATGACGGATAGAAGGGGTTGTAGCAAATGTCCACAGTGGGAATTCCGTCTGATTGGGAAGGCTTGCACAAGCATTGCCAGTGTTGTCAGGCATCCTCTCTACCTCTTGATATGCTTCCTAAATAACTAACCATATGGCGAGAGAATTCAAATACATCTTGATCTCTTTCAACCAAGACGCATTCCCCGCCTCCTGCCCCCTCCCGCTTTTGATGGGTTGGCGTTTCAAAATAAAATGAGATCATTTAGGATGTTTTTCCTTATCCCTCATGGAAGTTGTGAAAATAAAGTCAGGCGCATAGATGGACGTCTTCATTCCAAGAAAGCCAAGAGACCCAGGAAGGAGGAAGCCTACAGCCTTGTGGTTTCCACATTGGGGTCAGAAACACATGCCATGTACATTATTCTCAGATAGCCGGTTTGCCAGATCTAATTTTGCATGCTTTTAAAAAATGACTTTTTTTTTTTTTTTTTTTTGGAAGGCAGAGACAGAGAATGATTTGTTGGTTCACTCTGCAAATGCCCAAAACAACCAAAGCTAGGCCAGCCCAAAGCCAGGAGCTCCGAACTTAATCTGGGTCTCCCACATGGGTGGCAGGGACCCAAGGTCTCGGGCCATCACCAGCTGCCTCCCAGGGAAGCTGGACTGGAGAGCAGAGGCGGGACTCAACCCTGAGCATTCCAACGTGGAATCGCAGGTGTCCCCAGCAGTGTCCCAACCACGGCACCAATGGCCCAACCCTGTTTTTGCACGCTTTTAATAACCCCACAGGACATTGCCTTCAGGAGTGTGCACCCCACTCCCCTGTGCACTCCTGTGTTCGTAACTACGTTCCTTCGTACTCGCAGGTGCGTAAGGTACTTTTTGTGGCTGAAACCACCGGGTTCTCACCTTGTTATTTCTGCTGCTTTCTGGCTCTGAGTGCCTCCATTTAGGACTTGGAGGTGAGTCCTGTGGGCAATCCCATCTCAGCCGAGAGGGACCAGTGTGCCCAGACCTTGTGCCCGCAGCCTTCTGACTCCCGCCCTGTCCTCACTGCTCCTGGTCGCAGAGGTGGGGTGGCCATTGCCCAGCCAGGTGCCGGCCCTACGCTGGCAGTCTGCACTGTGCAAGAGGGGGCTGAGTGGACACCGCTGTGGCCAAGGCCACTGGGGAAGGACTCAGCTAGCCGTGCCACCTTCCTAACATATCCCAGATTTCACGCCGCATCTCCGGCCAGCCTGCTGGGAGCCACCAGTGTCCTCACTAGCTGCAGCTTTCTGACTTCCTGAGGCCTGACCCGGTCCTCTTCTCTTCTGGAATATTCTCCAGCAGCTGCCCAGCAGATCCTTGTAAAATACAAATCAGATGGGGCCGGCGCCGTGGCTCACTTGGTTAATCCTCCACCTGCAGCGCCGACATCCAGTCCTCCATTTGGGCACTGGGTTCTAGTCCTGGTTGCTCCTCTTCTGGTCCAGCTCTCTGCTGTGGCCTGGGAAGGCAGTGGAGGATGGCCCAAGTGCTTGGGTGCCTGCACCCGCATGGGAGACCAGGAGGAAGTACCTGGTTCCTGGCTTCGGATCGGCATAGCACCAGCTGTGGCAGCCATTTGGGGAGTGAACCAACGGAAGGAAGACCTGTCTCTCTGTCTCTCTCTCTCACTGTCTATAACTCTACCTGTCAAATAAATTAAACAAAAATGGTGTTTAAAAAAAAATACAAATCAGACAAGGCCAGGAAGCTGCCAGCCCCTTCTTGCCCTCTGGGGAAGGTCCCTTTGCCTTCGCCTGCTTGACCACGCCCCTCTCATCCAGCCAGGCTTTTGCTCTGTCCCTCATCTGTGTCCCCCTCCCCAACCCCATATGCTGGAAACTTGGGTTCTTTCTGTGACCTTTGGCCCTTCGAACACACGTTCCATGTGCCTCGCACTCTCTCCCCTCCTGATTCGCTCGGCCGTCTCCGAATCATCACAGATCTACTTGTGGTTCCTCCTTCCTCCGGGAAGCTTCGCTCAGCTGCAGACTGTATGGTCAGCCTGTGTCCCTTCCCAGGATTCCTCGGGGCATCTTATGCCCTGGGGGTGGGTGGGACAGATGACAAACACAGATGGAGAGCCAGGGTGGGTGGGGGGAGCACAGGTGCGAGTCTCTCTCGACGCTCTCAGCGACACAGCTGTTTGGCTGTTTCGGCTGGTGACTCTGCCTGGGTCTGAATTGGCCGTGCTCACCACCTGCTCCGGTCTCCAGGTCCCTGAAAGGCGGGAGGGAGAGAGGCAGCGGGTGATTGGCTGTCCGGATGTGTTCCATGTCTCTGCTTCTGAGAGACTCGTGTGTCCGTAGCCGTGTCGGGAGTTGCACTTGGGTGACCGAGGGGCTGAGCTAACAACCGGGTATGGGGAGCAGGCAGGGTCGTTGTCCTAGTTCTCTGGATTTGTCCTTAGGGAAAGTGAGGGCGTGAAGCAGAGCGGCTCCTGGGGAGACTCCGAAGTCGGACAGACCTGCGGTTAATCTTTGCTCTGCGTTCTTCCGCGTGTGACCTTGGCCAAGGGATTGCATCGCACAGAGCTGCGCTGTTCTCAGCTATACAATGGGCTTTCCAGGGGTCTCGGAATTGTAGGGGAAAATGCCTACAGCAGGCTGGACGCCTAGCTCATACTCAGTAGAACGGGACCTCTTTTCCCCTGGTTCCGAGTTTATTTGGGGCACAGTCCCAACCCCTGGTGGCAGCAGGTAGTGACAAGTGGGGACTGTGGCTCTCTGGAGCCAGCGTGATAACAGGCAGGCGGGAGCAGCAGGCTCCCTGCTAATCGTGTAATGCTGTTTCCTGTCCCCCACACGCCCGGTGACAGCTGGCTCGGGGAGGAGGGCAGAGAGATGAAATTTGCTCTAATTCCAACAAGCAGAGGGCGGGAGAGGGGCGGGGCTTATGCAGAGCTAGGAGCAGTCAGTCCGCAGAACCAAGTGGCCTCTGGCTTTGCCTGGGAAGCGACAGGGCCCTCACCACGCATCTCTGCAGCAGAGGTTCCGGAAGTGCACGTGAGGGCGTTGTCAATCTTCCACACGCATTGATAGTTTTGTCTTACAGAACCAATCGCTGCTTATGATACAAATGGGAGGGCTCTGGGCAAAGCAGAGTGAAGGACATGGATGATTCAAACATCCAGCCTCGTATAAAAATATTTCTGGAAAAGTTCTTCTGTGACTTAAAAATCTTTATCTTGAAATTTAATATTCTGTAAATTGCAGTACCCGGGTCTGGGGACGGAGGAGATGATTTTACAAGACGCGCCAGGCCTGTGAGGCCTAGATACTATTGCTTAGAACGAGACTCATTTCTCTTCATCAGTGAATTAGTTAGAAAGGCAGAGAGGCAGAGATAGATAGAGATCTTCCGTCCGGTGGCTCATTCCCCACATGCCCACAGCATCCAGGCCCGGGCCAGACTGAAGCCAGGAGCCAGGAATTCCATCTGGGTCTCCCACGTGGGTGGCAGGGACCCAAGGACTTGAGCCGTCACTGCTGCCTCCCCGGGAGTGAACTAGCAGGAGACCGGGGTGCAGAGTGGAGTCGGGGTGTGAAGCTGGGCCCTCTGATATGAGATGCAGGTGTCTCAGCCCGGGAGATGATTTTTTTTTAAAGATTCATTTATTTATTTGAAAGTCAGAGTTACATAGAGAGAAGGAGAGGCAGAGAGAGAGAGAGGGGTCTTCGACCCGATGGTTCACTCCCCAGTTGGCCACAACAGCCGTAGCTGCTCTGATCCAGAGCCAGGAGCCTCCACCAGGTCTCCCATGTGGGTGCAGGGGCCCAAGGACTTGGGCCATCTTCTACTGCTCTCCCAGGCCACATCAGAGAACTGGCTTGGAAGTGGAACAGCGGAGACTCGAACCGGCACCCATATGGGATGTGAGCACTGCAGGCGGCGGTTTTACCTGCTATACCACAGCACCAGCCCCGAGATGATTTTCATGGTGTGTGGACACACGGACACATGGGACCTGTGATTTCATAGACTTCATTGTTTTCAGTGAGACTGATTTCTTATGAAAGACGGGAGGGAGAAAGTAAGAAGGAACAGAGTTCATTGACGGTTAATTAAAGGGAAATACAAACAAAATAGCAGTAAAGCTAGCATTAAGATTGGTGAACATTGTCAAGATAATACACAAATAACAGAAATTGGAGAACTATGCATAAAGGCTTGGCCTGTGGAGGAATAGCTGGGGCTCTGCGGCTTCTGCAGACGGCCTAGCCCTGGGCTGTCATAGGACGTCCCTGTCTCTGAACTTGTGTCTGTCTTTCACGTGTACTGGGCCATGTTCTGGACCCCCCCTGGAGGCGGCAGGGCTGCCACTGGGAGTGGGGCCGGGAGAAGTTCAACGGAGATGGGAGCAGGCCTCCAGGGGAGAATGGGGTTTGACTCTCTTGGGAAGAGGGGCTGTCTGGCTGCGGTGGGCAGGTG